TTCCATGCGGGCATGGATTTAACAGAAAACTCAACATTTACAAAATTCTCAGTTCATCAAAACAGTTCAGTCAATTCCCAAATAGGCATGTTCAACTCCAGAAAAACAATGAAATTCCCATTTTCATTTCTCAATCATGCTCATTTCCAGAAAATCAATAAAATCCTCATTTTCATTCCAATCATGCTCAATTCCAGAAAATCAATAAAATCCTCATTTTCATTCCAATCATGCTCAATTCCAGAAAAACGATGAATTTCCCATAAAACCCATCACAATTTGCATTCCAGTTTAATCACGCTCAATGCCGATAAAATCAATTTAAAGCTTGCCACCATCTCAAAAACAGTTTAAAACATGCTTTAAAATCAAAGGGCTTTACCATAATTTACTTACCTCACTCGCATAAACCGAAGGCTAACCCAAGTGCTACGGTGACAGAACGATCAAAACCTAATCACAATATTCCACAATTAATACCGCACTACCACAAAATCCAAAGTAAAATCATCTTTAACACTACCCCTAATCACGGTGCTATTTCTATCAATCTCCACATAACCGGACATCTCCAAATTCGTTCTTATATCACAAACTAAACCTTTAAATCCCCGTTAATAATTAACCCTCGGGGTGTGAACAGTGCCTATGAACAGTGCATGAACAGTAACTGCACTTCCAAAATTGGCCAAACACTAGCTAATTCACGGGATTTTCTCCCTATAAACCACACAGCAACTAAATCAAGAAATTTCCACCACAACCAAGCTTAAAAGGTGTTTTATGCTACCCAAAATCATCCCATAATTCTAGCACAATCTCGGACAACACAAGCAACTAAATGGACAATACTTAATTGATAATTAGACATAAAAAGGCTGTCCATCATACCAGGAAACTCCGGCAAGCAGCACCGGGTCCGGCTGGGAAGGAAGCCGACGGGGAGAGAAATGGAGGAACTCACGGCAAACCTCAAAATTCAAGAACCCACAACACAATTAGAGTAACCCAACTTGAATTAAGGCTAAAGGGATGATTCCTAGTCGTTCCCTTACCAGAAAACCGAGAAGCTCTCCACCGACAAGAGCAGCTCGCGGCAGGGGAAGGAAGAGCAGAACAGAAATCCCCAAGTTTTACCGGTGTTCCCGGCCGGAAATGGATGGCGGTGGCTAGGGAGCTTCGGTCGGCTGCAGGGGACGGAACAGAGCAGAATCGGGATTTTCTGGGTTGAGAGGGAAGATTCTAAGCCCCAAATCTTGTGATTGAACAAGAAAAGGAAGGAATTCCATCAAGATCTCACCGACTTTTCAAGGAGAAGAAAGTCGGTGGCTTGGGGGCCTTGTCGGGAGGAAGAAGATAAGCAGAAGCAGAAACACGCGGCTGATGGGGAAGAAAAGAAAGAAAAAGAAAAGAAAAAGCAATTCATCCTTATCCTAATTTTTTTTCTTTTTAGCCCCTCAACTTTTAAAAGTTTTACGATTAAGCCCCAAAACAATATTTTCCATCAAATAAGTCCCCAATTTAATGCTAAAATACCTCAAAATTTTGGGATATTACAGGATAATACATTGGTTATTACTAAAATCCTGCCAATGGGATAATACATTGGTTATTATTGACCCCTGCCAGTGGGAGCTAAACACTAGTCATGACTTATAGATGAGATTACTATTGAAGCTTATTCTGCATTAACTGTTTATCATTGAACGTTTTGTTATGTTAAACTGTTTATCAGGCACGCTTAAATTTTACTCACGAGCTACCCATATTTTTACTTACTGAGATATTTTATCTCATAGTTTTCCTTGTCCACCATTTTAGGAAGTGAGACCCAAGGCACGGCTAACCAGGTGGAGTGACGAGCTAGACGGCTAGTCTGTATTTTGGACTTAGGCCATTAGCTACACATGTTTGACATAGATGTGAACTGATAAATCTTTTTTTTTTTTATATATATATTGAGTTTCCTTGGTTATAGCTATGACTGTTTTATAAACTTTTGTACATCCGGACTAGTAAATTTTTGGTAACTAAAAGCTAGTTATTAACCGAGTTTTCTAATATAAGTTATGTGAATTGATAATTATGAACACAGTAAGTTCTTAGCCTTGTGCATTTGTGGGATCCGTTCACGAGTGCACGGCGTCTGTTTCGCTCATGGTTTTGGGGCATGACAATGCTATTTATCATTAGCATACAAATAGTAACTTCCCTAGACCACGTTTGTTTTAACGATTTTGAACAATCTATAACTAATCTATAACTAATCGCTCATATCTAATTATTTATAACATTTGAAATACAAATAGTAATACGTATCAACTATGAGATTTTTTTACTGATTACTTTGTTATTTTCGAATAACTAAACCAATCAATGTTAAACTTATACATATTGAGTGTGGTTATTGCTACATCTTTACTTTGTTATTTTGAATAACTCAACCAATCAATGTTAAACTTATAAGAAATGCTATTGGGACAACCATTTTGTCCAACCTTTTTGTATAACCTGACGTGTCATTAAAATGATTGATTCTTTTAATTCATGTGGAACCCATAATATTGAATGCGTCAACTCATTTAATGACATGTAAAAGTTGTATAAAAATGTGGAACAAAAATATTTTCCTTATAACACCACCTTAAACTTATATATATTGAGTGTGGTTATTACTACATCTTTAATTATTAATGCTACATTTTTAACTAGATTGATTATTAACCATGTACTACATCAATTGCTCATGATGGGAAGAAGGAAAGTTAAGACAGCTGAAAGACCGCTAAAGTTGATTACCGGTTAAAGATACTCCATCCAGGCTGATTTTAATGTTTTAAAGTTCAACTTTTTGTATTTAATTAATTTTCTTTAATTCTTTCCCAAAATGACTATGGTTATTGGATTTTAAATTTGTCTCAATTTATTTTTTTCTTATGGCAGGCAATTATTTTTTTTCTACTTACCCTATACATCATTATCCACTTATTTTAATTATTTATGGTATTATAAAAAGTTTTTTTTATCATTTTTTAAAAAGTAATGTAGGTAAACATATAAATTACTATTAAATTCTTAATTTGAAGAAAAAGTTAAAAAACAGTAACTACTTTGAGACAGGGGAGTATAGGAAAAAAATGTAAACTAAAAATTCTTTGTATGCTAGTTCTTATTAAGTAGTTTTACTTAATCAATTTTTTTTTAATTGCTATACAAAATTATTAAGTTAAATTAAAACAACTACATCATATTTTGAATGAAGTCATTTTTTTAATGTAAAGTATAAATAAATACACTAACTTACAATAAACCTGGAGAAAATATTTCGTTTACATGAGTAGAACCCAATTTAACCTTGAGGCATTTAACCAATGAAAGCATTATGTGCACCCAATGTGGGTCAAGTGCACAAAAACTCCACTCTTTATTAGTTCCTCCATTTTTTTTTCTTTTTCTTCTTTAATTTTTGAAATTATGAAAAAATTACATTAAGACCAATCAAAACCAAGTGCAACTAACATTTCTCTTAACCAAATGACATTAGACCCATTGGCTTTTGTAGTTAATAAGTGAAACATTAAATTCACAGTTGACGTTGATCAAACACAAAATATTTTTGTTTTGATATTTTAACTTAATTTTTTATCGAGCTATCAAAAAATGTTTATTTTTAATTAATCCCTGTTTGAAGAAAGTATTATTGAAAAAAGTTGCCCCAAAATATCTAAACTTTAAATGATCAAATCACTACTACAAAATACCTCTTTTTCGGACTACTATTTTGGTCAAGTAAAAATCTTGACCGAAATAAGCCTCATTTCGGAAATTTTAACTGACCGAGACACAAAATTGTTCGTTTTCTATCATCTTCGATGAGTAATTCGGTCAAATATTATTTCGGTTAAGCATTTCAATCGAATTAATGGGGGGAGTTCCTCAAACCTCATATTTGGTCAGTAATATTGACCGAAAAACTGTAAAAAAAAATTACTACGCTATCAAAATGATTAATATAATCTGACTCAGTCTATTTCCGTCAATAATAATGACCGAAACCTAATTTTGGTTTTGATTCGATTGATGATGAATAAATTTGATTTTTTTACTCTTTTTTCTGTCATTAAAAATGACCGAAATAGATGCACAAATATCATTGCCCTGCAGTCTGATGGAGTTTGCAGGAAGCTTGAGCCTTTAAGATATTTTGCCCAGTATTTCGGTCAGTAAAACTGACCGAACTAGTGCAAGTTTCACGGGCTGATTTTCTTTCTTCTATTTCGGTCAGTAAGACTGACCAAAATAGATGCACAGTTCATTAACAGATCACGGGCCTGTGGAATCTGCACGAAGGTTCAACCTTTTAAATTTTTGCCTCTATTTTTGTCAGTAAATATGACCAAAATAGTGCAAAATGTTGGTTGATTTGATAGAGCTTCAGTTTTGCAGTTTTTGCCCGGTGAATGCCATTGACCGGAAAAAATTAAGGTGCAGCTTTTTATTTTTTCGGTCAAATATTTAGTCCGAAATTCAAAATAGTGCAGATATTGATTGATTGTTAATGTGACCCACACTATTTCGGTCAGATTTCTTGACCGAAATAGTGCTGGGCTATTTCAGACCCGACCTTCTTTCCCTCTGCATCATTATTGTGTTTAGTTTGTTTCTCTCTCGTTCCTTTCTCCTTGTTCATCAGAAACTTTCTTCAGTTTCTTTCTATCTCGATCCTTTTGCTTCTATTTTGCTTCTTCAGTTGCAACGATGGGTTGGTTTTGGCTTGATTAGTTTTTAAGAGGTATTTTGTAAATGTTTTTATTTCATTTAACTATTAATAGATAAGAGTTAATATTTTTTTCCTTTTCTTTTTATTAATTTGTCTTTATTTTTAGATAATTAGCTTAAATCTCCTCTTTGTCTCATTTTTTTTTCTTTTACACATTATTTTTCTTTATTTTCATATAGAATGATCTAGGATATAGTATTTTTCCTTTTTTTTCTTTTACTCACTACGAATATTAAGTTGTAACTGGATTATTATTAAGATCTCATTTCCACTTTTTTTGTTTTTTGTTTTCTTCGTTACTTTTTTTATTTTTCAAGTAAATCACTTTTACTTATTTTGCATTTTTACTACCACTTGTGTCCATCATTTTTTTTTTGCCTTATTTTGTTATATTATTCTACTTTTCTTAAATTAGTTGATATATTTAGATCTGTTAGTTTTTAACTTTTTTTCAACTCATTAATTGTTTTTGCTTTTTTTTTAGGTCCGCAATCAAGAGCTTGGTTTTAATTTCACTGATTTCCTTGACTTTGAAGTATTTGTTATTATAAGTATGTTTTAATCTTTTCTTAAATTTTTTTTTTGAAATTTAATTAAGGGAAAAAATATAATATTAATAGGTATTGGTAAATTAAAATTATATTGTTTAATTGGTAAATTATTTGTATTTTATTAATTAATTAGTAAATTATAAGTAAATTGCTTAATTGGTTGATTAATAATTATTATATTATTAAATTA